ATATTTGAAATATCTATATGTAGTTCAAAAAATAATTTTTCATGCATCTCTTTTTTTAATGTGGATTAGGTTGTATGTTTGTCATAGATCTATTTTTTTATAGATCTTTATTTGCTTGAATTAGTTAAGAAGTCTTGAAATCAAAGATAGGAGATACTTATTCATAATGGTAATCTTATTAAGTCTTTGATAGTCTACACACATTTGTACAGATCTATCTTTTTCCTTCATAAATAAGATAGGAGCTCCTACTAGAGATTTCAAATGTCATATGAAGTTTTTAGCCAAAGTCTTCTTAATGTATTCCTTTAATGTAGCCAACTCATTTTGCGATAAGCTGTAGATTAGTCCAAATGGTGGTTGGGCTTTTTTTTGTAGATCAATTGAATAATCATAGGATCAATGCTTTGAAAGAATTTCTATATTTTTCTTTTCAAAAAAATCCTAGAAATCTTAATATTTGCTTGGAATACCACTTGATGTCTTTCCACCATTAGAAATGGATGTGGCATATATAACAAAAGATGGCCCTTCTTTTGTAGCATGCATAAAAGCTCTTGTATCTATTAATAAGAATTTGGATGTATTAAGCTTATCTATTTTTATTTCACTATTGAGATTTTAGATTAAACTAAAGAAAAATTTAAGGTTACAAAAAATCCAATCTATCTCAGGGTTATATTTTTTTAACCACGATAATCCTAAAATAACTAGATCAACAAAAGAGCTTATCATATTAAATATTATTACACTATTATGATCTTTAATTGCTACATCTAAAAGAATAGTCTCATAAGTAACGTCTCTAAAAGACAACAAATGACCATCTATGACTTCTACATGTATAGATTTAGTTTTCTTGACTAACAATATTTTTTGTTTCTTGACAAAGTTTTCATCAATAAAATAAGTTGAGGCTCGTGAATCTAATAATACAAAGATTTTGTGATTTTTAGGTCTTAAATCAACATCTATTCTAAAATAAGGTGAAGGATATGAAGAGAGAATAGGATCTTTACTAGGTGTTGCATATGATTCGAGCCGCGTAGTCCCTATTGTAACTAGAAAAACTTGTTTTTTGACACATTATCTTCTTTAGCAATTGTACTTCTTATTTTGTAATTTTGTTGCTTCTTTGAATAATATTTAACAAAGTACTTAGTCTCTCGACAATATAAGCACAAACCCTCTTAACAACATCAAGTCTTTTTTTGCTTAGTAAAGGATTTAATTTCTATCCTAAGAATATTAACAAATTCTTAAATATCAGCAATAGTTATAAATCTATTTTTACTTCTATCAAGTATAGCATTTATGATATTTCCTTTTCTTTCAAATAACTTAATAAATTCAAAAGTCAAATTAAAAGAAGATAATCCATTATCTTTAATATTAAATAAGAATTTCTACAAAAAGAAATAATATACTTTCTTTAAAGAAGATATTAGTATTAAAAAACTAAATAGTTTATTTAAAGATGGATAATTTGTAATCTTCAAAATACAATAATAGAAGTAAGATAATCCACTGACTTTTAAAACAAGACAAGAACAATGAATTAACACTCTTATCAAATTATCAAGGACATGAAGCTCAAAGAAAGAAATCCTCAATACACTCTTGTATCACTCAAAAAAACTAGAAAGTCACTTAAAGATGATATAGTATTAAACTAAAATGGCTATTATTAAAGACAAGAAAATTAGAAAGTCTTGAAATACGAATAACGACTAGAAAGACATTGACAAGAGTAAAGAAGGCTTCACTCTTACTTCCATATATATTCTTAAGTAGAAGCTATGTGATAGTGTCTTATAGCACCTTCAAAACATGTTGATTTTGTAAGACATATATGTCACAAACATACAACTGAAGAAGGTTTGAGAAGGTTCTAAGAGGTTTTAGAAGATTCTAAAAGGTTCCAAAAGATTCTAATAGGTTCTAAAAAAGTTTGAGAAGGTTTTGATAGATTCTAAGAAAGTTCTAAAAAATGAGAGGACATCCTAGAAGGTTCTAGGAGGCTTTAGATGATTTTGGAAGTTGTTGAAGAAGGATCTTAGGCTTGCTTTGTTTTGAAGCCTAATAGAAAATTCTCAAAAAGCTTCTTAGGACCTAATATATATAGGAATGGAGGCTAAGAAGATCCTCAGTCTCGACAACTCACTTCTTATGGTCTAGTCATGACCTTCTTGCCTTGTATTCAGTTATTGTTCTAATGTCAAGTTAACTCTATTTTTTGGTCTTGAATCCTTGCCTTGTATATGGTTCTTGACAACATATCTTAAATTATAAGATAAATTTTCTATATTTGTACTACATAGATAACTTGTTCTATAAACTACCAAGATATAATTAACTTGTTGACCAAATTTTTAACCTATTAATTAATTAAAAATACATGTAAAATCAAATTAGCATCCATGAAGTTTTTCTAAAAAATATTATGAAATAAATTTATTTTTATCTATTTATATTTAATCATATAGATAAATATTAAAATAAATATGTATGTTTGTAATAGATATAAGGCTAGATTGATTGTCAAAGGTAACTCACAAATTATTGGTATTAATTTCAATAAGACATTTTCTTCTATTACTAAATTTATCACTATTAAAATCATTATAGCAATTGAGGCAATAATAAACTTGGAGATACATCAAATAGATGTGAAGATAACTTTTTTGAATAGAAAATTTACAAAAGATATTTATAAGGATCAATTTAAAAGATTTGTTGAAAAAGGCAAATAGTATCTTATTTATAAATTGAAGAAATTTTTGTATGGGCTTAAGTAATCATCAACAACATGGTACCAATGTATTTACACATTCTTTGAAAATGAAAGATTTGTAAGAACTAAGGTTGATTATTCCATGTATGTAATGCAATCAAATGAGTTCATATTGATTATTATCCTCTATATTGATGATTTGATCATCTTAACTAATATCTTAAAGATGATAGATTATTAAAAATAAAATTAAAAAATAAATATGAAATGAGTGAATTGGAAGAATTTTACTATTGTTTAGGAGTGGATTTTGTCATAGTTTATGCTAAAGAGGCCATTACAATTAGCCAAAGTAAGTATATTAAAGAAGTGTTAAAATGATTCAACATGAAGAGATATAAGCCTATTGGAACACCTTTGGAGGCCAATTTTAAGTTGATGAAGTTTACAAATGAAGAGTTTGTTGAAGTTGAAGGTCAAATAAAAGGTGTTCCATACAAGACAGTAATAGATTCTTTTATGTATGCAATGGTTGGCACAAGGGTGAATTTTACATATGTGGTGAGTGTTGGTAGCCAACACATGTTAAAAATTGAATAAATCTACTAAGCAACTATCAATAGAATCATGAGATAGTTAAAAGGTATTTTGTACTTAAAATCATGCTTAGGAGGTGATAGCATTACTTTGTATAGTTATTGTGATGTAAATTAAATTGAAGATATAAATGATAAATTCAACAATAGGATATATATTATTTATTAGAATAGAAGCTATTTTATAGAACTATAAGAGTTAATCAATAATTGTAAAATCAATAATGGAGTTGGAATACATGAGAGGAAGCTATGGTACAATAGATAGAATATAACTAAGACAACTTTTGGAAAACATTGGAATAATGCAAATAGAAGCAATTTCAATAAAATGTGATAATCAAAGATGTTTTGTATTTACAAAGAATCCAAAGCATCATTCAAGGATAAAGATAATTGACATTCAATATCACTTCATAAGAAAAAAGATTGAAATGGAAGCAATTAATATGAAATACTATGCAACGAAAGATATAATAGTTGATTTGTTGACAAAGACATTAATAAAGAATAGACATCACATATTCACAAAGGCATTAAGATTGAAAGCCTTTGACCAATAGCAAAGTGAAAGTGTTGAAATAAGTAAGAAAAATTAAAAATAGAATAAATTATCTTATAGAAGTTATTACCTTAAATAAATTGCTAATAATCAAAGGATTGACTCTTGGTATGTTAGATGGTCATTAGATAAGTTAAATGAATAGACAAAGGATCTTAAGGATATAGGGGATATACCAAAGGTATATCTTCATAATAGATAAGATATCAATGGATAGTCTCAATAGAATGTTGGATAAATATATTCATCAAACGATGGAAGTTGTTCATTAGAGCAACAACCACTACCTATAAGTAACGGGTAAAGGAAGTAAGAGTTATCTTACTCTATATTCTTTTTGTGTGCAATCTTATTGATGCTATGTATTGTGACTTCAAAGTTCTTTTTCTTCAATATATAAGACAATCTTTAACCTTAATTCTATGATGTAAAGATTAACATTGTATCTCTCTCACATAAAGTCCTGCCTTTCTTATAATATAAATATATAATTAACTAATCCTCTTATATTGCTTGATTTTCATTCATTCTCTATTGATGATATATATATATATATATATATATATATATATATATGTATATATTTATATATTTATATGTTTCACAAAGAATAGAGTGTGGCCTAGAGAAGAATCAAGTTTCTTAATAGATGGGAATGTTTGCTTAGCTGCTTCATTTCATCCTCAGTTGTCTAAAATTCATTGCCTAAGTCAAATTGATGCTTTACAAAAGTCAAAAACTTTATTAAGTGCTTTACAAGAGGACTCAGGTACTAAAACAATGGGGTTGATTTCAGCCATGCCCTGAAGTATATTAGTTAAAGCAGTCTTTGATTCTTTTGCTACTTTCAAGTCGAAATGCAAGTTTTTTGCGGTGTGTTGGACCACAAATGAAAGTCTTCAGCCGTATTGGCATCAGATTTACTACTCTGTGGGGATTGTTGTTAGAGTTCCAAATCTCAAATCCCTGAGATGAGTGTTTGGGTAAGGCAGTTTTTTTTCCCCAAAAGTGAAACCGGAATTCATGACGAACACGGAAGTTTTCTAGTCTACGACATTCATACCCGAAATCTGACGCCATAAGCCACTGAGCTGTACTCCCAGGTGCAGATCATGGGCAAATGCCGGTCACCAAAGTTCCATTTCCAAAACCATGAGCACATTCATTGATGCTGTCAGCCTTTCCAAAATGTTCTACTATGACTATCGTTACTCAAAACTATCTTTCACAAACGTCTGTCATCGAGTTGATGAACCTTCTGAACGAATAAAAACGGTAGCCATTCCTTTCACGGTTGACACTAACTAGCTAAATTTTACATGATAGGATCTTCAGCTAGTCCATAAATATTCTGCATTTCTTTAATGCATACTATACTCCGGTGCAAATTTACATTGAAATTTAACCAGAATCCAAAGCTCTAAATCATGGCTAGATTCAATCTAGGAGAATCTCTTTCTTGTAAAGTTTCGGGGCGCCATTACACAAAGGCTCTCCGAACTTTCGACGCAGCCGCATATTCTAGCTTCACCCGGCCACCAAAAGAATGTTCAACCATTGATCTATCAACTCTCTAAGAAGTTTATACGCCTGTATTATCCCCATGACAATCGACTATAATAGCAATATTTAGATTTGAATACACTACTGTTGAGGAGACTCTACGGGTTCTTCGAGGGTTGGAACCTCCGGCACAAGGTCCAGAAGATCGTTCAGCTCCCGCTCGAAGTCCAGTTTAGCTCGGTTACTCTTCCCACCGACCACCAACCAACTTCCATCCTGAAGTGCCCATACCTGCGAGTGGGAGAGGTAGCTGATGATCGTCGTGAGCATAAGTCCACCGAAACCAGCATACACAACGGGGACACCAGGGTCGGCTTTGAGTTCCAACCCAGTACTGCCGATCAAATCATCCACAACGATGTTGACGTTATTGACTGTTATAGCTTTCTTGGATCCCGGACGACGAACGCCCACGAAGTTGCCCTCCTGATCGTAGAACACTACGGTTTGCAAGTCACGAGCCAGAATGGAGATGCCCTTTCCATCGGCCGCGCCTTGGTCACCAAGAGGGAGAAAGCTGCCAAATAGTTTGTTATCACCTGTCTGCAAGCCTGCCATGGGGAGGTTGTAAGGCTGGCTGCCGTCCACCCGAAGCTGCACTGCTGAAATGCCCCAGTCTGTCTGGTACATCGTGACTCCTCCAATCCGCATGGGATCGTTAACACTGATGGTTTTAGAGGACACTATCTGATCTTGTGGGTCGACAATTGCCAGATCGGAATGGAACTGCCCTACCTGTCCATTCTCTCGGTAATCGATGTAGAACTTATTAACATGAACTCGTGAATCTAGCACAGAGGCATCCGGGCCTAGAAACCCACTTCCCAGAGCATCACCGATTCTGAAGTCCAGTCCCTGGGGAACCATGACCGTACCCCTCAGACTGCATGCAGCACTAACAGTTCCTCCTGTCAGCCATGTCAAATAAAGAAACTATAAGAATATTCTTAAAAAAACTTCAGAAGACATTCAGAAGCAAGGATAAAAACTAACAGCAGAATTTCAATTTAGTCCACAACAAAACCCAACAAGAGATTATCATTGAAACCAGATGAAATGAAACCGTTGCTTTTCCAAATAAAAAGAAATGATATCCCAATGTCGCAGAATAATCAAGGCTTCTATACTGCACCTGGGTCCTACCTGCCATAATCAAAAGAAGAGCTACGTGGACACCAATAGGTGCAAGCCTTCCAGGAAGGCCTTTGAATGCGTACAGCGACGGACCTCTTGCAAAAACTTGGTATCCATGGCCCAACAGCACGCTGCCCAGGTCAGAGAGTCGAGCTTTCGGAAGCGAATCTGTGATGTCTAATTTGGAGAATGATTTAGTAGACTTCAGAAACGACCACCTGCAAGCAGTAATCCACGACGGTTCTCTCCATTATAACCACAACAAGGATGATTGGAAATAAACGAGAGCTCCACACAATGACAAAGATCACGATCAACGAAGAAACATTCCACATACAACTGTGGAGGGTGTCAACGAGGATGTACGTCTACCTGCGAGCGACTTTAACTATGGGCAGCTGCGTGGTGGAAGTGCAAGCCATAAGAGAGCCTGCAAGCATCGCCAAGAGACCCAAGTAGATTGGGGACGTATACACATGATCCAACCCTAATCCCAAGATCCACTGCCATGAGAGAAAGCCCAACACTGGATTGGAATCGGGGAAATTCTGGAAGTACCACGCTGGCCTCTCTCCTTGCGTAATGACCGTTCCCACGGCTGACAACCCAGCTATGGCGAAGAGCTCGGCTATGGCAAGCGGCAGCGACGCCAGCTGCCGCACCACTTTCCTCCACAACTTCTGCACAATTATGTCCGAATCCACCTCTACTCTCTTAACCCTCTCCACTTCTTTCACCTGTGCAGATTGCAGTTTAGTCTCAATCTCCTCGACAGGAATTTCTGTCAACACCGGAGCACTGAATTTCGTAACAGAACCACTGGGTTTCTGAGTTTTGCCTTTTGAAACCTTAGCAACTACAACTACACCTCGTTTGCATCCACTTCTCGCCAATCCTAGAAAACTCCCGCCCAAGCCTCCAGCTGGAAAATTACCCAAAGACTGTAACTGAAGCCTACATTGCATAAATTGAGCACAAGGCAAAACGCTCCTACTGCTCACCACCGCCATCGGCCCCCTCGAGCAATTACTGATTGTAGAAAATCTCTGCACTCGATTAGATGTGGCGCACGCCACGTGATAACCGCAATAATAATCCTTCAAGCGAAACAATACAGCCAAGGCGTCTCATGGTATCCCTGCACCGCACGGATCGCTGCAATGTAATCCTCTCGAATAGCCAATCCCAACTGCAGCTCCAGCTCCAGCTCCAGCACCAGCTCCAACTTGGTGTGACTGACAATTCAAGGAGGCAATGGACCTCGAGTCCAAATTTGGGTCTCACCTTGGGACCCAAATCCAATCCAGACTTGGGTCTCAGACTTGGGTCTCAGACTTGGGACAATGCGGTGCCGCGATGGGAATCAATCTGCAACGGAGGGGACGTGTCTGCGGGCTCCAACACGAACTACACAACAAAACGCCTTCCACATACACATGGATAACGCCGCGTTTTCATCCACCCATCCATCCACATCCACGCGACGCTGGGTTTTGCTAACAATCATCCTGTTTTACAGGCTGAGCCGGTAGTCGAGCCCGTAATTCTGGATCACGAGATAAATACCTGCACTCCAGAGGCATATTTGCTTGTAGGGTGCAGTTCTTGGCTTTGAAGGTGTAACAAAAAATAATCATATCAATATGTATATATATATATATATATATATAATTAATTAAAAATTCTTAATAGATTTTTCTTAGTAGTATTATATTGAGACTACGTTTACTTTTAATGATATAGATGTAATTTTTATTTAATTTTTTTTCATGAACATTTAAATTCTTGTTCAAATAATTTAATGAATAAATCAAAAAAATGGTGGGTTTCTTTAAAAATTATTAACAATAAAATTTAACACTTTGTCATAGCTTTTATTTAAATGAGTATTAATAAAAGAAATCTATAGTTGACGGACATTTTTTGATATGATTAATATATGTTAAGTATTAAAAAAATGATAATTAATATTATGAAAAATTGAATTATCTATAATAGATAAAAAGAAAGAAACATAATATTATTGATAATATTTTTTTTATGAAGAAAATATTAAAAATAACTTTTACAAATATTAAAAATATTTATAAATATGAACAATACAAAAAATACTATGTTCTATCTCTACATTTTTATTATTGTGAAATGTTTTGATTTTTTTAAATATTCGATACATTTGAGAATTGGCTTGATATAGATTTTTAAATATATCATACACAGTAGTTATAACATAAAAATGAATGTTGCCAGCGTAAACAATTGAGTTTATTATTTGACTCTAAAAGTTATACACTGAAACATGAATAAAAAATAAGTTGGCTCTTTTATATTTTTTAATGACAACTGAATTACATATTACTAATAAATGTTAAAAATTTATAATGTAATAATAATATTAAAATAATTAAAACCAAAACTTACTTTGTTCTATACATACACATATAGTTTTTGTATTTATGTAATTTTAAGATAAATTTTATAAAAGTCACAGTTAATATATTTATCAAATACTTAATCTTTTGGATAAAAATGTTATAAGATTTTTTTTTAAAATATATATTTACATACACCCTTATACATATACAAACATATAGATATTATTAAGATTGTATACATTTTTTGTAAAACTTTTTAAAAACATATCATTAATAATATAAAATCCTATCTACTAAGTACTTTTTCTTATAGTTTTAAGCTTTTGATTCAAATTACAACTTATTAAACCAAGAAAGCTTCACAATAGTGAAATTCTTTAAATATTATAATGATGTTATGGTGTGAAATTGAAATAAATCAAAATTAATTATTTCACAAGCTTTAGAAACTTATTGTATGTTTTAATAATATATGTCATGTTTTTATATTTTAGTAGATTCTTTGATATCTTTATCTATAAGATTCTTATAAAAAGATTAAAAATTTATAAAAAATAAAATAAAAAAATAAAAAAATGAGTAAAATATATATGGAAATTTAAGATATTTTCTTTTTTTTTTATTATATTTATATTTTTATTTATTTAATTTTCTTTTCTAAAGATGCTCAATGATCACAAATTCATTTTACAAAAAAAACTAGTACCAATTCTTTATACAAGGTATTATTGATATTAATATAAATATAGTCAAAATCCAAGATATTTTTACTTAATTAAAGATATTTTTAGTTTATATGATTTAAAATAATAATAAATAATTTTTATAATAAATTTCAATATTTTTAATAAATCATAAACTAATAAAATATACTATAATTTAAAAAATATTCATCATATTAATATAGATTTTTTTTTGTTATTTAGAATTTTATATAAAATCTTTCAAATATATAGATGTAAAATTGAAGCTATAATTCTTTTTATATTTTTTTATATTTATAGTTTTTACGAAAAATATTAATTAAATGATTTGAAACTGTAATATATATATATATATATATATATATATATATACATACAAATTATTACATATCAATTTTAATAATTTATATTGATTTTAATTTAGAATACATGATAAATTTATTTATAAAATATATTAACAAGATCAAAGTATAATTTGATATTATCTCTTATTTATGCTTTGAGATTTCGGCCTTATAGATTCTCCTATAGAGAATTGTCAAAAGATTAAGGATTCTTGTAACACTACTATAAGATTAAGAGTTTTTAAAATTTAGATTTTTTTTTTTTTTTTTTTTTTTTTTTTTAAATATGATCATAAATTATTCTACAAAATTCAAAAATCTTGATGGCAATGATGCCAAGCTTGAGCATTTACTTACATCAAAGGTAGAGAAAGATGTAAAGTTGCTCAATTCATTTGGCAATAATATCAAGCTTTAGCATTCATTTATATTTAAGTTAGTGAAGAATGTGAGATTACATAATTCATTTGGCAATATTCTTAAGCTCAAGCAATTAGCGATAAGAAAGATAGTGTAAGATGTGAGGTTGTTTAATTTATTTGGCAATGATGTCAAACTTAAGTACACACTTATATTTGAAGTAGTCAAAGATATGAGGTTGTGTCACAGACATATGCATATAAGCTAGTAATTACTTGTATAAATAAGTAGAAGTAAGTAGAAGTAGGTAAAAGTAAGTTAATTTTATAATATCTTTTACAGAAGCTTCTTAGAAGCTTTATAGACATTGCTTCAACTTTATAGATATCTTTAATTGACTTTTTGGGTTAGAAACGTGGTCAACAAGTTGGCCATGTGCCATACATGTTGTTAGCTTGAAGATCAAGCTAACTATGTGGCCCACATATAGAAAAACTTATCTTATAAGTTAAGGCATGTGTCCTACAAAGTCAACACATATTAGAGGTCCTATAGAACATCGCCATGTAGTCCCTAGTTAGATAGTATATATAGAGACAAAAATGAAGCCTTCTTCACTCTTGTCGATTCTTTTCTTGCTTGTAGTCTAGTTTCAAGAGTCTCAAGTTTTCTTATCTTTTGGTAATAAGCTTTTTTAATTTCTTTTAATATACGTACTTCCTTATTTCTATTTTGTCACTCTTTCTTTGATACGGATTTTATTGATTTATGCATCATCTTTTAGTTCAAGTCCTCGAAAGATTGATAAGAGTATACTTATAGTATCAAAGCTTTGTCTTGTCTTGATTAAGAGTGGGTAACCTCTTTCTCATGATAAGATATAAATATATTAGAAGTTGCGGATCATCCTCTTGTAAATTGATATTATTCTTAGTATTTTCTTTGTTCTCAAGTCCTTTCTTTTACTTATCTTGAGTAATATTAGATATTTTTTTTGAGTCTTATTATGGCAGAGCTTGTTGAAGTAAAGAGTACAATGGCACAAATGCAAGAGCAATTGAGGGAGTTGATGCTTGCGATGCATCAACTTAACTTACTACCATAAGAATCAACAAGAATGGCAGGAAGTGAGGATATAGAGATGATTAAAGCTACTTCAATATCTGCACCAAATCATGTCCTTCCACCTATGGTGGAACATCCTTCAAGTGTTAAAGAACCAAGAGTTGCTTTGTCCAAGAAGTTTGATGGTACAAGATTCAAATTTTGAGGATTTATCAATCACATATAATTTGTGATTGAACTTCAATACCAAAGCTATCCAACTCCAAGATCACAAGTTAGATGTATTAGTACACTTCTTTTAAATTCAGCACTATCATGGTTTTTATCTTTTCTTGAATGACAAGATCCAATATTGGATAATTTGGAGGTATTTTTGGTAGAATTTTGGTCTATCTATAGATAACATAATACAATTCATGTTGCAACTAATAAGATCTATATTTTGCGACAAGACAATCGATCTGTAATGTTATATGCTTTATAATTTCAACAACTTAGAATTGATATTAAGTGGGATGATGCTGCACTTATTAGCCAATTTTTTTATAAATTATAATATGAGGTAAAAAAATTGATGCTCAACTTACCTGATCTTCAAACATTGAGTTAAGCAATTAACTTTGTTGTGAAATGCGACAATTGACTTTTTAAATTTTGATCTGAGAGTTGCATAAATGGGCCTCAATATTATTACAATTCGATGGCAATACCAACATCTCTTCAATACATACATTCAGAAGTAAAGGATATGCAAATTGATGCAAAATATTTTAAATCTCTTATCGAGCAAGAAAAGACTTGTTGCCATCAAGAAGGATTGTACTTATATTATGGAGAACCTAAACACACTGCTCAACATTGTCCAAAAAATCAATGAAATCACAAAATGAGGAGCACATCTGTCAAAGAAGACAATGTGTCAGAAAACAAATTTATCCAGCTATAATAGGGACCGTGCGGCTAAAACTTTGTATAACACCTAGCGAAGGTCCTATTCTCTCCTTAGAATCCTCTCTATGTTTTATGATAAATGTTATTCTAGGACCTAAATATCACAAAGCCTCCGCTTTGATAGATTCAAGAGCCTCAACTTGTTTCTTAAAAGAAGAATTTGTTAAAAGTCATAAAATACCATTAGTATAGGAAACCAAACCTATTTATGTAGAAGTCATAGATGGTCATTTATTATCTTTTGGAGATGTTATTCATGAAACACTTCCTATAGATGTAGAAATAAATGGTCATAGTAGTTGCGTAATCTTTAATATAATTAGATCTTCCTCTAACCTAGTCATTTTAGGTTTATCATAGTTAGAAAAGTATAATCCTTGTATAGATTGAATTTCTTGTATCCTTGACTTCTCTAAAAGAATAATTAAGAGTGAAATTAATGTAGTAGAAAGTCATAGGTCTAGTACAATTAAACCTATGTTTATAGGTACAAGAACTTTCTTACATGTTGCAAAAGAAGGATCACCTTATGTCATTTATGCCACACATGTTTCTAATGATGGGAAGATTTTAAGTGGCATACCCAGCCAATATCGAGAATTTC